ACAACGATATAATCGGATTTCGGTTGACAAAAATGGACTTTTATTGAATGTAGAATTTGTTTACAAGGTGATGAACAAGATTGGAAGTAACAACAAAGATTACAAGAAAGCGAACTAGAAATCTAAGGAATGAGGTCGATGTGATTAGTGAATAGCTCTAGGTTTTTTCGTGTGTTCTAAATGCATGTTATCCTAGCTCTCTTTTTATAGCCTCTTTGTCCTTTAAACGTCTACGCGATCTCCGGAATCTCATCCTCGACCTCGTAGGGTCCGGCTCGATGTCGAGTCAGCGATCACTCCAGATGGATCTGGACCTGTTTAGATAGGTGCCGAAATTGGGTCCAACATTTGTCACCCAATCTTATTTCTTTTCTTTTTTTAATGGATATGATCTCAGACGAGTCGGGTGAGAAATGATGGAATGAAGGGTCGCACAACAACTGTGGAAGGCTGTTGACATTCCCAACTCCAGTTGCTGTTTGATATAACGCATAAGTACAGGAAAAAGGAGGTTGTTTACTTGGATATTAGGCACCAAGAAACAAGAAAGTGTTCTAGACAAAGAACAAAGAGATAAATTTAGAAAAGAGAAAAATTGATTGCTTTATTCTTGTGATGTAATTACATATTTATAGTAGCAATGGTCAAAGAAAAAATTAAGAGTTTTGTGGAAAATCACATCTAAGAAATAATGATATTGACTAGAAAATAATAAAAGGAGTCAAAGACTCTTCGGTTCACGTTCTGGTCAAGGAAACTCTTTGCCTATTGTTAAAGACTCTCCAGTTCACGTTCTGGTCAACGAAACCCTTCACCTACGTACTGTCTAGGTTCATCCGGATTAATAGGGTCCAGGGCGATAAGGATCAGGATGGGAGAATGATTATTAGTATGGCCCGTCGGGTGTCCTTCACGAAAGAGGTGGTAGATGGCACGGTCGATACGGACGGCATGATCGGATGGGACGGTACATGTGTGATCAGCACAATCTGATGAGAAAACCTCAGTTGGATCAAGTGGGTTGACATGATCACCACCCTAGGCAGGGTCTATGGCGCATCAGTAAGGATGTCACTATAGTTCAATATCTAAAAGAAAAACATATTTGACTTCATTATAATACGTGATTGGATTGAATAGTTAATGTTCTTTTGGGGGGGAGGGGGGTGAGTTTCGGCCAAAGAAGTTATTAGCCTCGATTTATCCTGTTATGTAGAAGAAAAGTAGCAAACCACAGAATTATGACATTTACGTGATTAGCCACATAAATTGTTGGTTCTCTTTTAAAAAAGCTAGGGTATATGTTGACGATATGTGATGTTGATGTGCTATAACAATTCATAATAGCTTAGAACGAACTATAGCTCTGGAAATAAACTCTGGAACCACAAAATTTCACAGAACGAAAAGCTCCAAAACAAAGTTTGGCTACTTAGCTTAGCTTGATGAAAGTAGGTGTTACGAATACAATAGAACCTCTATAAATTAATACTCGATAAAATAATATACACTAAATATCTCTATAAAATAATATAATTTTGTAGTCTCAAATTGAGTTTTTGGTTCGACTAGTATATCGATAAATTAATATCTCTCTAAATTGATTAAAAATAAAATTTTAGTGTAATCCCAACATTATTAATTTATAGAGGTTTCACTGTACGTGATAATTGTGAATCACTGTCACGAATCCCACATCAAAGGAAAGACCTAAAAGAATATATATTTTTAGTTCACCGACCTAAAATAATATATTTTTTTGGGCAACTCCTAAAATAATATATTTTTTTGGGCAACTCCTAAAATAATATTTAAGAATGTAAGGTATACCATTTTCTAAAATACTCTATTTTTTAATACTCTATTTTATGTTCAGTTAGTTTTAATAAAACATGTTGACTCTGAAAATTGAAAATGTTTCCGTACGCATTTAAAAAAAATGTTTCTAGAAAATCTTTCTCTTTCGGAAGGAAGGAGTAACCGTATTTTGTTTTACTGATATAACTAGGACTTGATATAATAATTTGTATCCGAAATACTAATCCAAAACCGATCCGAAAATCGGAGTACCCATTCTGATCGGATATAGCCTAAATATTCAAAAGACTCCTTCTTTCAAAATCCAAAAAACTAAAACCGAACCTAATCCGTACCAAGAACCGAATGAATATCCAAACATATAAATATATATGGAAAATAATATTTATAATTATACCTTTACTAATAATAGTATCTAAAATTAATATTATATATCAAATATATTAATTATTTTGGATATTTATAGATAGAAATTGATGTTTTGGATACAAATACCCAAATAACATTGTATTTATGGTTATTTTTGAACAAATAGATAGTCAATTTGAACCATATATATTGAGTATTTTTGAGATTTTGCTTATCTTTATATAAGTTTGAGTAGTTTAGATATAAAATACTTGAAGAGAATCGAGTACTTTGGTTAAAACCCGAACCCACCTAGAATCGGGAAGACCCGACTCGAACCCGATCCAGATTTTGTATTACCCGAATAAAACCATATTTCAAAACCCAAAAATACCAATACTCGAATGAGTCGTATTCATACCCAAACGCCCAGGCCAAGATATAACTAAACATATATTTCCTTTTGAATTTTAATTTGATTATATAGCATTTTCAGAATGAGAAGGTATATCTTACAAGATTGATAAGCTGGACATCTTACATATTAAAATAGAAGTCATGACTTGACTTCATGTGTGATTTTTTTAAAAATGGACTATTACTAGAAAGTTATTAACTCTCTAAAAATCTTATCATTATTATATTTTATGAAAAATCATATCTATAATAACAAAGATACGCGTAAAAATTTGGTTTTGGTAAATTACCCCACACCTTCCAACTTAGTCACGCAAAATATGTCAATAGATATAAGTTTAGGAATCTTCTATTATTTATAAGGAAATTTGTCAATAATAGTTAAATGCATCCACAATATATTGACAAAAATCACAGATTAGTAATATGGAATATTTATATACCCTAACAAAATTTACACGCTATATATATATTAGATAAATTTATTTCGATGTAAATTTATAAAATTATATTGTTTTAAAAAAAGAAATTGTTTAAAAAATTCTTTCTAATATTAATTTATAAAGCTCTAAGTTTAGTTCTTAGTAAAAAATTCTTCGAATTTATATTATCTTTGCAAATTAAAGTATACTAATATTTAATTAAGCTTCATTTATATTACTTTATCTAAAAATGAAATACTAATCTAACAAACGATATATAGAAGAAGAAACAAACACATGTTTGAAAAACATGTATAATATAGAAAATTTGAAACAATCTATTTGATTAAAACACTTATTATATAATATTTTTATGTTTGAAAAAGATTTACTATACATATCGTAAATATGTGATTACTATAACATATACCAATTTATAAGTGAAAACAAAATGTTTATATAGATAACTATAAACGAAAACAAACATCCGCGCGGTTGCGCGGGTCAAAATCTGTGAAAACAAAATGTTTATAGTAACTATAAACGATTTACTATACATATCGTAAATATGTGATTACTATAATATATACCAATTTACAAGTGAAAACAAAATGTTTATATAAATAACTATAAACGAAAACAAACACCCGCGCGGTTGGGCGGATCAAAATCTAGTGAAATTTTAAAGTTCAGATAACAGAAATCATAATAGAAAGGATTTTTTTTGGTTTTTGAACAAAAATATAGAAAGGGATAAGATAAAGAAACTGATTAGAAATATAAAGAAAAAGCAAAATCAAAATCAAGGTTCCATGTTTAAGGAAAAAAATCAAAGGTTCCGAACATTGTGTATCTGATTGCGGATGGTTAATGGAGCTGAACTGACATGTTCCCATAGAACATTATCGCCCATAACAAGGGTTTGCCTTCTTCCGGACGTGGGTTTTGTCTTTCTCTCACGTGTTTGTTCGGCGCCGAATTGGCTTTCGTATACATCATCAAATTTTTGTTTAATCATCCAATATACAAGAAAATATTGGAGAATCTGAAATTTCAAATTAGTACTGGAAAATAGATACCTACATGGCTGGAATGTATGATCTTAAGCAGACCGGCATAGGAGGCAAGCCACCAAACCACCGATTAGAAGCGGGCATAAATTTTTATATAAAAAAATCTTAATAATGTATTAATAAACATGTAGAGTTTGTATTTTTATTTTTTGAGAAAGAACCTTAAACATGTAGAGTTTTCTTAGCTAAATATTTACTTATTCACTCCAAGATGCATTAAGCTAGGATAAGATCTTGGTGATGTGAGAGAACAAGACTATTACAATGGATATAATATGAAAAGAAAATATAAAGGATTTTGAAAGAGATTGCTAGAAATTAATCCAAAAACATTATTTATGCTACGTAGTTGTCAGAGTCTTAAACTTTGAGGACATTGTGCTTGTATTTGGAAGGTTTCTTACAGAATTCTACGAATTCAGACGTAGTTAGTAATGATTTATTTATAGAACTAAAGATTATTCGAGCATCGACATTTGTGGAAAATCGAAAGTCTATTGGAATGCCTGTTTAACAAAAGGAGGATTGTTACCGCTATAAATTGCTTATCAGATCTTATTGATCAGTTTTCTGAAGTTGAAGCTAATAAAAAATTATTTGCAGGATACCATGTCACAAGAGAGGTTAAATCAAATGGTTATGTTATCAGTTGAGACGGTTATGCTCGAAAGTGACTATGAGTTTAATAAAAAATTTTGAAGAAGAAAAAATGAGAATAGCTTTATTCAAATAATATTTTTTTTTATAAATATTCTATAGAATTTGACATTTTATGAAAGTTTACGGTTTTATGATATTAATACAAAATGTACAAGCTACAAGGGCATCTTTTGAAATTTGGCTTGGGGCAGTATATATCAAACATTAGACTGACACTGTTCTTAAGCTTCCATATGAGATGGAAAGAAATCTCATGGACATTGATGCTTGTATTATTTCACAAAACTTTAAAACCCAATGAGTCAATTTATTTTTATTCTTTAATAGTTTCATATATATAACAAAATAAACCAACAATAATATTGTAAGAATAAACAGAAATGCAAAAGTTAATTGGTTTGATAAGTTCTTTCAAACCATTGCTCCTTTGTAAGAAATTTAACTTGCATAAGCATATGAATCAAAAGACAGGACATGACCTACAAGTTTTTCTAAGTACTTGGAAGAAGATCCATGTTCACTTAAGCAAACACTAGCTCTCTTTTTCCAGTTCAAGCAACTCTCTCTCATTCCTTCTCCCATTTCCTTTATTCTTAATACCTTCTCAATCTCCTTCTTATCCAACTTATTTCTATCCAACATCATCCCAACTTGCCATACATCAACAATGTACCTCGCATTCACACACTGGTCCGTGAAACACGGTGTACATATCATTGGAACACCTTCACATATGCTTTCTAGCGTTGAGTTCCATCCACAATGCGTCCAAAAAGCTCCAACCGCAGGATGTGCTAATACTTCTAGCTGATTCACCCATTTCACAATTTTTCCCCTATGACCAATGTCTTCCACAAAACCACAAGGCAATGACTCGAGCCACTCAGTCCCTTGGACCATCCCCGGCCTAACCACCCACAGGAACGGCCGTTGACTGTTTCTTAGACCCCAAGCAATCTCGAGAAACTCCTTCTCCTCTATATCTGCAAGGCTTCCAAAACTCACGTAGGCCACAGTCTGCGGGTCTTGCTTGTCGAGCCATTCAGTTGTTACATGGTTTTCTTTGTTCTTTGTCGTAAGAAGAATATTTTCGCTATGTTTATGAAACGGTCCGACAGGAAATATGAGACCTTGAAACTCGGGACTAAAATTCATGAGTGTGGTTCTTTCAAGATCTTCGAATGTGTTCCATATGATTCCTGAAGAAGACTTGGCTCCTTCCACCATGTTGTTAACTGCCCGGTATAGTTCCTCTGGCTCGTTCGTTTCCATAACCGGAAGGTCCTTCACTCTCAAAGGAGGAAGCTCGGTCACTAGCTCATCCAGTCTAGAATCTTGAGCAAAATATATACATAACTATTTAGCTTTATAGTATTTATTTCCATCAGTCTTTTTTTTTTTTTTTTTTTTCATCAGTATCTATTTTTCATCAGTCTTTGCGTTTACATCTATATTGTAGGCGCTCTATCAAATGAAATTACTTTGTTATTACTATGTTTTATGAAAAATATGGAGAAATATTATATTTACTAGAAATTGCGTGAGAAGAAATTGCAGCTATAATACTAACTAGAGTTTTTACCCGCACGTTCGTGCGGGTATATTTTTTATTTTTAAAAAATTATTTAATATTAATTTAAATATTTGAAATATATAATTTATATTTTTATGTTATATATTGTGTAAATTTATAATCTAATTGGTGTAGGTTTTTATTCAACATTATTAATATATAATATTCTTTAATCTTTTACTTTGAAATTTATAAAATAGTATATGACTCTTTTTTGTTATTATAGTGAAATTTTAATTGATATTAATGTATAATAGTATGATATTATTAATTACGAAATTTATTATTATGTTATTTAATAATAAAATATTTAAACTTTTAGTAAGATTTTGTTAGATTTTCTCTCAACCGATTCTGTTATAACTAAAAATAGAATGTATTTATTATTTTCATCATATATGATATATATTTGATTGATTAACCTAAATAATTTAATGTGTCATACTAAGTAATAAATGAAATGGTCCTATATGACTTCTTTGTAGTAGATAAAAATAGTGACTCTATTTTAATAGAGTAGATTTATCATCCCTAAGCATTATTTGTGAAATAATAGATGTCATGGTCTTTGAAAAACATGACAGGACATTAATTTAATTATGAAATATATAATTTTCCTTATAATTTTTTGACAAAATTTTATAAATATGGCTGACTGTTAACTCAGGTATCATCAGTGAATTTTCAATATAAAAATTTACTTCTGACAAGACTATTGAAATACATTAATAACTAATAACTTATATATCACTATTAAATAAATATATAAATATATATATATATATATATTTTACATTAGTAAGAAAATAAAATAATTATAATTACTAAAATAATTCTTTTTACATCAAATTATATATCAAATTTTATATAAATATATATATTTTTAGCAAAATTAAGTATAAGTGTGCATCAACAAATATAAGATTAAAGCAAAACTAATAAAATACTTTTTGTTGATATTTAAATGGTTAAAATTGTATTTTAATTTTTTTAGATTATTTAACAAATTAATATTTACCAGGTTACTGTATTTTAACTAAAAATTCCAAAATTCATTACAGTTTATATTTAAATAAATACATATTTATAACTAGGTGACAAAAACATGGTTTTAAAAATAATCCAAATATAATATAAAAATTATCTTTTAAAAATTAAATTTTATGAATCAAACTGAAATAGTGAAACCAAATCAAATCATAGAAGGCATAAAATTTGTTATTTTTTTCCAAACCGAAAAAGTTAAAATAGGAAAATAACAATGTCCAAATATAAACTACTTTTGAAAGTAAATAAAACTGAAATAGTTAAACTAATGAAAAGAAATAAGACTATGAAATAAATTTATAGTTTATTTTTTTCTAAATAGGTGAAATTAATATATAAACAATAATGTCCAAATATAAACTAAAATTTTCTTTTGAAATAAAAATATTATATTTAAAATTATTATTTTTGTATGGCATATGAAAACTCCTAGTGGATTATGTATGCATCATGCCTGGCACTATATTCCCAAATTATTAACAATTAAATAAGACCCACATATAAAATTCTCCCTACTTTATATAACTCTTTAAGAAGCTAAAGAGATTAAACTTTCTTTAAAAAATTATAACTAGATTTTGATCAGCGCAACCGCGCGGATATTTGTTTTCACTTTTATGTATATAAATATTTGTTTTAGAACATAAGTGGTATATATTTTTAATGTTAATCATGTACTCAAATGTTTATATAATTGTTTCAAATACAATAATTTTATAATGTACATGTTATATACTTATATTAATCAATTGTTAAAAATCGTATGTATTTATCACTTCTATTATATATTTATCTTATTTTATTTGCATTTAGTTATCAAGAAAATTAATATGTTCATGAGAAAACATATTTGAAAATTATTTTATATTTAGTTTATGGTTAATTCTGATCCGAACTTCGAAACTTGATTTTCTTTTACCAATATTTTTATGTTTATTCATTTTAGATAATATATTATTGCACATATAAAAGTCTAAGATATGTTAATTTTTGGGCATGTATTTTATAGTTTGCTAATTTTAAGTCATTTTGTCATCATATTATATTTTTAAAATTAATAGTTTATATTTACGAAAATAAAAATTTTAAATTTTTAAATTTAATATACTATTATCATATTTATTTTAATATAATAATTATCTTTTAACATGATGATTATGACTATGAAGTAAATCAAATAGGATATCATTTAAATTTTTCATTTTATAATGATAACATAACATACATTAACTTATATAGTACATAGTTTTACACAGTTTTTATTAGAATTTTAAAATTAAATATATATATATATATATATATATATTTATATTTATATTTATATTTAAAAAGAAAAGATAACGCGATTAAAGTAGTTATAATTTTTTTATATTATTAGCTTTAATGAAATACATATTAACTTATATACATGTATTATATAGTTTTCTAATGTTACCTGTCTTACCAACATTTTAAAAAATTTTGAACATAAATATTTGATACTTACAAAAATAAAATATATAAATTTATAAATTTAATACAATTTTATTATATTTAGCTTAATATAATAATTTTTAATATGATTGATTATGATTTATATAATAGATAAAATGATATACTTTTTATTTTTTATTTTATAAAGTTAACTCAATATATATTAATGTATAATAATATTTCAAACTAATTTTGATATTAGTGAAAATATTTAAAGATAACATCAAAAATGAAGATCTTATAAAAATCTTTTAAAACAGATTTGTTAGAATTTAAATAAATATATTTTTATTTAATATCAAAAGATATTATGATTAGAGTATTTTAAAGATTCTATATATTATTAGTTTTATTAAAATACATATAATAAAAGTTTTTAGTGATGATGATCTATTTTTTTTTAAAAAAAAAATCACACATGAATCAAGTTATAACTTCTGTTTTAATATATAAAAATTTTGTGATTCCATTAGTTACTACCCATATTCAATTCCGGTCCAAACATTGATAATTATATTTAGGGCCCTGGTCTAATCTATACTATATAAAAGTTGAGGCTATAAGCCATTGAGGACGTCCACGTAGGATTTAAGTCCTCCAATCGTATAATGACACATCATTATATTAGTTTATTATTTTTATAAAATGTCATTGTTTCCAAATTACATTAAAAACGAAATTAATATTCCATATATAACTTAGCTAACAAAATAAATATTAACATTTTACA